GTCAACTTCTTCACTAAAGTCTTTTTTTTGTTGTGGCGATGCAGCTTTCCAATCGAAAACTTTGGTCTAACAGCCTTGTACTCCTGATTTGTATTTGAACCAGTCAAAGATAACTTGGACTTGTTTGTGATTAGAGATTATGGGGTGTGAGGTGAATGTTTTGGCTTCCAACACTTTGGAATCCAGATGACTAGTGCACCAAATCTGGTCGATTCTTGAAGCACCTGTCTATATATAGTGGATAAAGTCATGTTTTTTGCCAAGTACCTTAATGATGTCAATCCAATTATGTAGATAGTTGTAAATTCTTCTTTTGGGTTTGATGTAGGAGCATTTATCGCTAAAGAGTCTATTGGGTAGGAGTTGAAATCGTCAGCCATTATTTGGTGTACATTGTTTCTAAATTTCCTAATATGTTTAATTAGTGATTTTGTTGCTGTTTTGTGCTCTTCTGACTCGTATAGGAGATAAATGGCAGTAATGATTAGATCAATTTTTGGTTTGAATTTGAGATGGACAGCACACCAATATTCGTTTTCAGTAAACGTCTTGAATATGTGATTGACTAGGTCCTTGTCAATTATTAAGCATGTACTATTTTTTGAGGAATCTGAAGGAAGACTTGCGATGATAGTGCAGTTGTTACATTTCTTTGAAAGGTGGTTTCTATGTAAGGTTTTAGTTTCGGAGCAACAAAGTATTGATCTTCTATTTGCCAGGTCCTGTGTGAGGGCTCTAGTTTAGAGGTGTCGTTTAAGCCAACTGTATTGAAAGTTGATATGTTCAAAAGGTTTCTGATGGGTGAAGTTTGCTTTTTTGCTGAAGGGTTTTGGTTTGTATTTGTTTGTAATGAATGGATGGAGTTAGACAAATTAGTTATATTAGCAAATAAAGGGGACAAGATCAAAACCGGACTCCAGTAGATCTTCAGGGGTGATATAATTATCAGGTAATCTTTTAAAGGCATATTTCTTATGTAGTTGGGCAATTGTTGCAGGTAAGTTCTCATCATCTGTTAATGGGAATATAATGTCAGAGAGATTTTCTTCACATATTTTGTTGAGTTCTTCTACAGAGGGTAGAGGAAGCTTGGGAGCATAAAACCAGTCCTCAGGAATTGTGCAGAATTCATATCTCTCATGAAGTTTGTGGATATTTGCTAAGAAGTCTTTGGAGTATCTGTCGATATGGTCCTTGATTCTGATAGATATATTGATCTTGGTGATTTTGAATGGGAGTTTTTCTTTATCAGTTTGTGATACTGAGGGATCAACCCATTGGAGACCCAAGAGCAGATTGAATTTAAAGTCCTTTTGCAGGCATTTGATAAGAATCTCAGCACTTTCTTTGGATTGTACTGGAATTATCATATCCAGCTCATCCAGTAGAGGATTGGAGAAGGAGAGAAGTGATCTTTTGAATTTGTAATAATCAAGTGGTATAGTTTTAAGACTGTATTCTTTCCTTAAAATCTCAATCAGTTCTCTTGTATCTATTGTAAATAGGTCGTGAGAAAAATAGGTTGCTAAATGTGCCAGCAATAGTTTGTATAATGCTGGGAGGGGGATTTTGGATGGCGATAGATTAAAGAATGACTTGGAAAGTTTTGCAGGAATTTCATAGTATTTAGCCAGTTCCCTTATTCTCATTCCGAGATCCTTAAGGACTTTTTTTTTGACGATAGGAAATAGATAGTTAGTTTCTTCGTTCAGAGCTTTTGTTTCTTCTGGCAGCTCTGCAAACTTGAAGAAATATGGATCCGGAAGGTAAGAGAATTTGTAGTGTACCTTGAGAATTAATACAACTGGGGATAGAAGTGATTTTTTCTTTATAGGGAGTGGACATGGGAGCTTTACAATTATGTTGGATGGAATCTGGTCTGGTAAAATTGATAGGTCTGGAAGTGATTTGTATAGCATTTCTTTAATGAGGTCTAGTAGTTTAATGTAATCAATAAAGTTATCGTTTTTTCTTAAGAGATAGTTGTATTCATATTTCAAAATCTGTGCGATTTTGAAAAATCTGAATTTGTTAAGGTCAGTAAACCTGAGACAGGCTATGAAAAGTGATAAGTTTAATATCAATCTAATTTTTTTTTTATTCTTCTGCTAATGTAATTAACATCATTAATTTTTTTATAATTCTTGTGAGCTTTAGTTTCCAATGCTTTGTATTCAATTTGGTGATTTCCTTTCATTAGCTCATTTTTGGTGAATGATCTGAAGAAGGTTCTGTCTCTTAAAAGGATTTTGGTAAAGATTGCAAAATGTGGCTCTTGTGTGACTGATCCTTTTGAAATAGTCTTGATATTTTTGAACAATTCAGTTACTTTTTTTGGATCTGTGTGGCAGGCCAATAACTGTAAGACTAGATCGATAATTTTATCATGTTTGCTGGTGAAGGGTTCATTGCTTCCTGCGGCACATGTAATTGGTGGACTGTCTATTGGTTGACTACTTTCTAACAGAATTTCTGTAATTCTGTTTTCTCTACTATGTGCGAGTAGTGTTACTTGTATGTTTTCTGTTACGTATTTTGTGACTGTGGAGTTGAGTGAATTCTCGGTGGCTTCACTTATACTTAAGTCATCAGTTGGCCATCCGACTTCAGCTTCATCTAGTAACTTATTCACTCTGATTTGTTCAGGTGTCAAGTTTTGCTCGTTTGTATAGGTGAAAGGTGTTTTCTCTTGCAGGTTGCCTAATTCCTCCTGTACCTGACAACCGAATTCTATAAGAGAGCTTGCACTACCGATAAGATTTGTATGGTTCAATGAATCCATTGATATGTCATTGTCAGAACAGGAGCTAGTTGGTCTGATAGTGCTTCCAGATTTGTCATGTTGATTGTCTGTGATGACTGCATAGTGGTGATCGTCCACTTGCATCATGTTACCGAGATTATACAAGATGTTGTTTATTGATGTAGTGTGACCTGTTGTATTATTTGTGTCTGCATTTTTCTATGCTGTAGGGGGTGTGCATGTATTGTTATCAATTTTTGTCATTCTAGAATTGTTTGTGCTCTGTAGATCAATAGGAGAGGGCAAGCTGTTTGGGGTTTTTTTTGGAATTTGGGATGACAATTTTTTCCCTTTAAGATTCTCAACAAAATTTTGTTTCTCATATATTGTTTCTTCATCCTGTACTGGAATATTAGGTGGTGTGTGAGTTGGTGTGTTCTGAATTTTATCAAGACTGAATTTGATTCCACTTTTGACTATGTTAACTTGATTCTAGGATAAGTGAAAGGTGTAGTTTAAGTTACTGTCTAACATCTTCTTGGCGATGGTCTCCCTTATACTTTGGGCAAGGTTATTCCTCTCCTGATATTGAAAGAAGTCATTGAGGTTGTTTTGGGTATTGCTTTTCATGTTGTTAATGGTTATTGATACTATTGTGTATGAAGTAGAAGAGTTGGAACTGGTTGACACTTGTTTGAAGGCAATGAAAGCTATATCCACTAGTAAAGGATTGCTGGTGATATTTGAGTTGTCAAAAGTAATTGAATTTTGTAAAGGAACAATCCAAAATTTGGGGAAGTCGGTTAAGATTGGAATGGATACATTTTTTGCTGATTGAGTAATTTGGATAATGTTTGAGTTGCTTTCCTTATATATTACAGAAAAGTGATGTTTATTTGGGTTTGCTACTATGATATCCAAAAGAATATGGGAAAAGTTTGAAGGTTTGCCCTTAGGAGGGAGGGAAGCTCCCAGGAGTGTTTGTTGTTTTGCTTCTCTTTTGAATTTTGCCAGCTACTAAAAAATGAAATTTTTAAGCGATACAAATTTTTTGGAAAAGAGTTTTTTTTTTATATCTAAATATTTTATTGTTATAATCTTGTTAATTAGTATAAAAACTTGTAATTTTCAATAATAATAAACTTGTTTATATTTTTTTTAGTTTATTATTTTTTTATTGTCTATTTTAAGTTATACTTTATGTTTTTTTTACAAAATCTATATTTTTTTTTATTATATCATGAAACTTTATTTGTTTTATATAAAATTTAAAATTTATTTTTTTTAGATTTTTTAAAAACTTTTTGTTTAAGCTTTTCTTATAGAATATCTTAATAAAATTTTTTAAAAATATTATTGTTTATAATAGTTAAAAAAACCTTTTTTCAAATTTTTATGTATCATCTAAAATCTTAAAAAATAAATGTTTTTTAATAAAATTTATACTATTTTATTCTTAAGTTTTAAAATATATTTAAATAAAATTTTATAAAATTTTAATGATTTTTTTTATTTAATTATAAGATAAAATATAAAATCAAAAAAATTCCAAAAAATTATAAATCATACTATATATATCCAATATGTAAAATATAATTACTTGAAAATATATATTCAGTTGAATTATATTAAATGTTAATTATATTAATTATTTTTTTAAAAAAAATTCTGATTTTAAATATTTTTAAAATTGAAAATAAAAAAATAATTTTATTATTTAAATATTAAATATCAAAATCAAATATTTAAGTATAATTTATAATTTATATATAAAGGCCTTGTATTATTATACTTTTTATTTTTAAAATTAAATAAACATTATAAATACTTGTTTGATTATATAAAAATAATTCAAACATTAAAAAAATTTAATATATTGTTATTTTTTTTTCATAATTACTGAAAATATATTTAAATTTAATTAAATACATAAATTAAATTGGTTAAAGCATTAAACAATTTTCTTTTAGTATTTGTACAAACTATAATTTGAGAATAATATAAGAATTTCATATTTTTTAATTTATAATTACTGCATAAATAATAACAATTCCAAGTCCATTAATACTCAACGAATTCTAAAACTATCTTTATTGTTACAATATGCAAAAATCAACGTCAGAGTTTCAATAACTTAATTAACATTTTACTATTAACAGCTAAACTTATTCAATCTTCTTATTCTTTCTTCTAATGTCTTCTTTCGCCAAATTCATCAAGAACTTACAACTCTGTATCATACAGGATATAGGAACGATCATCCATATGAAATTAATTCCGATAAAGTAGAACCAGTAATAAAACGCTTCAGGCCTACAATGTGGCGAATTTTCAAAAACAGAGGTCCAATAATATAATATTAAACCATAAATTTGACCTATTGAAATTGTGAGTTGTAATAGATGGCGAGATGGATAATTATTATAAATAGCAATAGAAGTCAAAAAAGCGACAGGTCCCCAAATTGCCTATAAAGACGAGTAATGTAAGAATCTCTTTTTACATAAATAAATCAATTTTTCAATCACACTGTCGTACTCACCGCAGTAACACTTTCCATGATGACTACGAATGGATCGCTTGATAAATATCGCGAGTCACTTAACGAATATTCTTTCCATAATTGACTCATGATCCCATTATCCTCAGCAATTGTCCCATAAAACAATGAAAGGTATCCTTCTAAGAATACATGAATACACCCAGTTATGTTGAACCATATAAAATATCCTTTATCCAAGGATGCAACTGATTTTTTGTGATAGATGAGTATCAAAGATAAAATTGCTACTACAGAAACCGCACAAAAAAAACATGTCAAGAGGAAAACAAAAGAATATGTTGGTTCGGTGTATTTGACGAGCTACTTGTTGCAATTATTAGCGTAAATTGTTAATTCCAGTTTTACTAAAATTATGTGCGTTACAATAAAAACATTTACAAAACCTTAAGATTGAGCGGATAATAGGGGTGGCTGGGTTCTGGAACTGTGGTACTTTCTATATTCAATACGTCGACGACAGCGGACTGTTCTCCCGAAAAGAGTGAGAAAACATTTGAGAACATTTTTTTTTATAAATTGAGAAGTAAAGATGCAACATAAAAATCCATATTGAGGTTTATAGATGTCGTGGATTGTAACACACCAATAATAAGAACAATGTAGTGTGACAAAAAAAAATTTTTTTTATTCATATATGTATTTTTTATATTACAGGAATTAGATTGATAATTAGTTATTTATATGTATATGTATTGTTCAAAAAATAATGATCAAAAAATCGTATAACATTTTTGTCGTTTTCAAAAAGAATCAGCCATATAACATCGATTTAATAACGTAGTTAATAAAATTAATCAATTAAATTTATTGATATCGTTAATGATCTCAGATAATTATTTTTAATATGAAACGTGTATAAAACACATGGTCAATTACGCATGCAGAAAGATAGGATGCGCGTAAAAGGATGCCTAACCGTTAATGTTCTTTATGAACACGTGCAGACAGACAGAGTACACGTAAAAGGATGTCTAACCGTTAATGTCCTTCAGACAATAAATTATTCTACATATTACTAGATTATATTGATTTTATTCTATATTAACTTATTATTATTGACTTAATTTTAAAAGTATTTAATCAAAGATTAACATATTGAAATAACTATTATATCTTTTATTAATATCAGTTTTATTTTAAACTAAAGAAATTAAAAGAAAGTTAAATATAAATAATAAATAAAATATTATAGAAAAAATCTTTTAGAACCATATTATTGTTATTTTTTAAAACTATTTAAACAATCAAAAACTTATATTAATTTATTGCTTATAGATTATTTTAGCTATCAATACTTATTACAATTACTTGTCCAAAATAAATAATTATTAAAACAATTTTGAAATAAAATTTTTATAATAACTTGTAAAAAAAATATCAAGTATTATAAAAAAACAACTATTAAATTATTTTATTCAAAATTAGCTATTTTATATATCTTGCAACTAGAATTTCTAATGATATTCTTTTCAATATCAAATTAGTACTAAATTTATTATAAGTTTAATATAGTAAGTTACAACATATATATTAAATTTATTATAAGTTAATATTATTTCAATATTATTTCAATATCAATTTAAAATCATACTTATAATTTCTAATAATTATTATAGCATCAAATCAAATAACTATTATATGTATACTTATATATATTTATCACAAACAAATATAAAATATATGACTTAAAAATTAATAAATATATCAAATTGCAATCTGATTAGAGGCAATATATATATATATTATAAGACTTGATTTGTAGATCTATAGCATAGTGGATAGTACTTCCAAGTTATCAAATATATATTTTTAATTTAATACTTATAGGGAGCAAATATAAAAAGCATATCTATATATAGGTTTATTGGTTTTTTTGTATATAAAATATTCAAACATCTGAATTTTAATCAAATCTAATTAGGCTGTATAAAGATAAGATCTTTAGTCTTTTTGACAATTGCAAATTAAAAACTTATTAAAGCAAAAAAAATTATATAAGGTAAAGCTTTTGATTTAACTTTTATAAAAGCTTACAAACTCTCTGATATAGCAAACTTCATAATATAAAAAATACCTTAGCTTGAGATCATCCCAATTTGATACTTAAAAACTCAATAAAAAGAAATAATTCAAAGTTGCAAATGGTAATAATAAATATAATACTTTCTTCATAATCTTAGGTAAAAAGTATTAAACAAGTTATCTAAATGTTCTAATCAACTTTAAAAGATATATGCTCTTAATAACAACTGCTAGAATCTAGATTAAATTAAATAGTTTATAAATTAATAGTAATATTTCTATCTTCTAAAAATCTTACTTAGATATATAGGTTTATCTCTGAAATAATAAACTTATATAACTAAATAAAACTATAGATAAAGAAGTAGATTAACTTAAATAGATCTTATAATTATATAATTCAATATAAATTATTTAATAAAGATCATATATTATTGACATCTTTACATTTGAAAAAAAATTAATAAATAAAAAAAATAAAATAAAATATAAGATTTTTATTAAATAAAAAAAACTCTCTCCCCAAAAATTTGTATCGCTTAAAAATTTCCTTTTTTAGTAACTGACAAAATTCAAAGGAGAA